CTATCTAACTTTCTCTCTCTCTATCACTCTCTCACTCGCTGTCCATCCACTCAGCTCAGCTAATTAATTCCTCACCACATCTGAATGCTTTAAGGGAGCTCAGCGTGGCAGCTTGCGCAAATGGCGACTAAAGTGGTGTTTCGCATCGATCGCCGTGCCACGGGTCCCGGGCCTGACCCCCCGCGGCCCCCTCCCGGCGCTGGGCAACAGCGCAAGAGCTAACAACTAAAGGTCAGGGCCATTTCGAATGCGACGCTATCACGTCTGCTAGCTCCATTGGCATCCTAGCGTTTTCTGGCACCTTCCACAACCCCCTCCCATCCCCAAAAAGAGCTCTTTCCATGGATCCTTGGACAGGGAGAAGGTTTCTGTGCTTTCCAAGAATCTAGTCAACCCCTCCCCCCTTCTTTTTTCTGCCTTTTCTTCCTGTTCACTCTCTCAGTTTATAGAAAAGCAGAGCTATTATCTGTCGGAGGTGCTTGGCCCCCTTACATACTAAAGAGAATCGTCTTTATCCTTAAGGCCATTTTCTTACACAAGGAGGAGAGAGGGGGCAGAGATTACGCACTGCGTTCGCCTTTGTGCCCAGCGTGAGTCTATATGTGTGTGTGTGCAAGCGTGTCCTGAAGCGCTTCTTATCCTGCTATCTGATGGATGCTAGAAGGCAGAGTCCATCTCCGATGAATGGTGGCCTTTGAGAAGCCTTGAATGGCGGTCTAAAGGCAGCAGCAGAGGAAGAGAAGTGTGACGTGTGCGCTTCTGAGTACATTCAAGCTGCCAGGCATAACTAATGAAGCCACTGAGTAAAAAAGGGGTTGTGCTTTATATAGGCAGAGTTCATAACAGCAGGTAATACAGTGTGATATCCTATCTATACATTTTCATAATGCAGTAAGATGTAAAGTACCGGTCAGTTGTTTGCACAAACCGGATTAAAAGACAGTTTGATCTAAAGGCTTATTTTTAAAAGCTCGAAGTATGTTTCACAGACAAATATGAGGAGTGAAGTTGATGCCCGTACACTATTGTTCAAAAGTTTGCAATAACTGCTGTATTAACACTTCCTGTTATTTTAAATACAATAATAATTTATACAGTGTGTTGTGGCCAAAAGTGAATTAGATGTTTTCTTCAATATTTCATGAATTCAATAAACAAGAAGTTATAAAATGAAAGTAATTGCATTTAATTATCTGTTTGCAGTAGGTTGAGACCTCAAGATTTGATCACTACTTTTTGGAATATGATGAATTCTGGGTAGTTTAATTTAATTAGAACTGCGTTCTTGATGCTACACAGCTTTCTCAGCCCTTGTAAAATCTTCTGTATCATTCTGGACTTCTATCATTCATTTCTTAATTTGTATTTTTACAGCATCCTTATCTGAAAGATGCACTAAAATACTGAATTTAGTTTTTACATATATCTGAAACCCAGATGGTTTATAGTGTTGAAAACTTTGGTTCCAAACTTTTAATAGTATTTGAATTTATTTTGAATTCATATTTAAAAAATATTTTTTGAAATAGCACCTAAAAGGTCATTTTCAGCAGCCAACAAGTGCTGGAAAAGCATCCTTACTGAAGCTGCCTGAGAGGAAGCCAAAGCTGCACTGAGACGAAAGGGAGGCTACTTTGAATGATCTAAAATATAATAAAATAAAATAAAACATTGAAAACATTTTTGTGGTCACTGTGTAACTTTGTTATTTTGGAGGTTTTTAATGTTTTGACTATTCTCATGTGAAAAAATGGAAAATAGTGCTTCATGAGCAGGTGTTTTTCTGACTTTTGACTGGTATTGTAGGAAGTAAGCCAAGAGAAACTGAAGGATCAGTGTTCTGTAGTGCTTACTGTCATATGTGACCACTGCATATATAAAAGCTGTATACATATATGTGTGTGTGTGTGTGTGTGTGTGTGTGTGTGTGTGTGTGCGTGTGCATGCAGCATATATGTGTACAGCATATACTTTAAAAAGAGCGATGGAGAGGAAACTTGTGCAGCTGGCAGCTGCACATGTCCTGTCACATTTGACACCGTGCAGGAGGCAGGTAAACAGACGGAGGAGGAAATATACAGTCTTTGCAGTAATATTTGTTTCCACTCGGAGTATGACACAGTGACAGGTGACACAGTGTTGCTCTGAACCAGAGAGAGAGGGGGAGAGAGAGAGAGACTGTATATGTTATGTGGATGGACAGTTACATATGAGCCTGGCTCTGGTGCTGTCTCTTCCCATCATGCACTAGTGTGGCCCTGTTCATGAGTGTCTCCTCTTTCTTTAGACCAATCAGGACATAGCTAGCTCTGGACCTGTTACCTAGCGACCATCACCGGGGGCAGCGTCCTGAGAGAGCCTACACACATCACTGTAGTTCTGTAAACTTGGACCCACTGGTCTTCGCTGCGATAAGGGAAATCTACCAACTCATAAAAACCTAGTTTGTCACATAAATTGCCGGAGTGGCAGTGATTGTTAGTTACCTAGCTAGTTTAAAAATGTATTTTGGTATATCTACATATACAGGTGTACAGATTAGGGCTTTAGTGTTGTGCATCATTTATAAAAATGGACAAATTTCCAGCCCTTTTTTAAGCTCTTTGTATAACTTAGCTGTCCACAAAAAACATGTATCTCCAAATGTTAGCTTTACAGAATGAGGAAAAAAGGTTTAATTTTTAATGTAAGTTAGAATTTTTAGCCATTTCTATTGGTCTATTTGTCTTGAAAGGTTCACACACTGTAAAAGACACCTGCTGTGCTCATATGATGCAAATAAACATTAAAAAATCAAGACCTTTTCTTTGGACAGCGACAGTATTTTTATAGAGAACAGTAGGTGAGAAACCACATAGGCAAGTTTATTTTACACTAGTTAAACAACTCAAGTTTGAGGCAATTCTTCAGGCATGCAGTTTGCAGTACTAGCAGATAAGCTTCCATTACTTGTTAGCACCATTAGCCTGCTTCGCACCTTGAGCCTCATAGCTGCAAGAACTAAGGACGCAGACTCTTGTCCTACATTTAGGGTAAGAGCATAATTGTGTAAATTTGTGTTTTTCACCAGGCTATTATTGTAGAGTGGAGAATCTTGATTCATTAATCTTTTCAATCTCAGACTAGGCCTAGCCATAAGACCAGCACTGGCGCTCTTACATAATAGACTGGCACAAATATGTATTGGTGCATTAGTTCCATGTGTTCCTTCTGCAGTGGAGGAAAAAGCTGGCATCAATTTGAGAGCTAGTAAGAGAGACTCTTATTGAGACTGATTGAGGCTGATGAGCAGCATTAAGACTGGCGGCTGTGCTCTTTGTCATGCTGCTGATTGACGGCTCTCTAAGCAGGTGTTTCTCTGCGTTGTCTGCTTTTGGTCTGGGTAGAGCTGGGCGATATGGCCAAAAACGTTATCACGATAAACAAAATTCATATCGTTCGATATCGATACATATCGCGATAAATGTCAAATCATGATTTCTTTCACGTTTGAAGGCTGATTTTGCTCCTGGGTGGTTAATTGTGGTTTTAAACTATCACTTATGGTTGGAAGCACATGTTAGCCTTCGTCCTCTCAGCTTGTAGGGCTGCATGTAAAATAGTTTTTTTTAATCATTACTGAGATATAACTTTCTCAAATAAACACATGGTTAAGATGTGATGACAGTAACTTGAACCGTGTTCTTGCTTGTGAAAGTAACTTAACCATTCGGCTAAATGGCCACTTACAAAAGCCATGTACACAGCTCAAGAACCACACCATGCTGAAGAACTAGCCAGTGAAAAGACTACAAATGTTATGATCATTCTCACAACAATTATATGTGGTAAATGTGAGAAGCAGTAATGACTACTGTCACAACAAGCCTCAAAAGGAGCTTTTTAAGGATATATATAGTTTTACAGCTCTCATTTATAGGGCACTTTCTATTGGGAGGTGTCTATCCCAAACCCCAACCCCTAAATTTCAACTTGTGAAAATAATTCTCATATGCTATTGTTTTTTTGGTATGTTTGTCTGAAAATCAGTGTGTAGCCTTAAGAATTGTCACGTTTTATACAAGTAATTAAAGTATAGAGTATATAAGTAATTTTTAAATAAATAAAATATGATTCACTCAGTGAGTGAAAAATAGAAATATGATTTTTATATGTGTACAACTGTTCAAAAATAGTACTAGTTACTGTTAAGCTAGTCATATACTGCCTAGTGTTTTTTGAGTTCTGCTCAAAATAAGCTAAAATTGTCACTAAAACATTTAGTAAAGTTCCAGAGTAGCCTTCAAAGATTTCAAAATACTTTGTTCATCATAATGCAAGTTGCCAACTGATCTTAGATTTATTGAAAAGTTAAATTTTATTTATTTATTTATTTTTTTTTTTTGGAGTAATCAAGGTTAATCGAGTAAAGGTGTCAGCCCTACGGTCAAGAGAGCAGAAGGGAACTTAATGCAGAATTGTGTTAAGCTTAACTGCAAAAATCAAGGGACACAGGCTCTCTGTTTGTGTGTGTGCTTATGTGGCACATGCTGGTTTGTGCGTGTGTGTGTGGGTAATGGTTGAGCATGCACGCTGATGTGTCCTTGCAGACAGGCCTTTCTTCCAGGATCAGTAGGCCTTTTTCAGGGTCAGCCTGTTTCTCACCCTTGGGCTGTTTGTAGCTGTATTACTGCTTACAGAACACAATGACTGACTGTGTGTGTGGGTGTGTATATGAGAGAATGAGAACACCCCTGATCAAATGGCATGATTTTTAAATTTATTTATTAAAAAATGAGTTACTATATTCAACAAAAATTAAATTCAGCAAATAAACAGTAATCGTGCATTAACATGCTGAAGTGTGTAGAGATTTTTCACTTAGAAAGATCAACAAAACATGTAATTTGATCAGGGACGCCCAAACTTTTGCATATGACTGTATGTGTGTAGATGTGGAAGATTTATCTTGGTTCATGAAACATTTCACTCACTGACAGCTTTGTTCTTTTCTCTTCTAGGTAGAGGATGCCATGCTTATGTTTGATAAAACCACAAATAGGCATAGAGGTAAGAAGCTGTTATATCTTTGTCTGTTTGTTTGTTTATGTGTATTTGTGTGTGTGTGTTTGTGTGTGTGCGTGTGCGCATACCCTGCCTGCCATCAGTGTGTCTCTTTATGCCCCTCTGTTTTCCCGAAATGGAAAAGAATTGCTTCGATTGCAGCTCATGGTTCTGTGTTAAACATATTGAAGCTATTGAATACTTAGCACTGTATGCTACATTATGGCATTATATCTTCAAGGACGTTTAGGCCCTGAAGGTCAAGGCTAATGTGGTCCAATAAAAGCCTGGCGTTCTCACTGTAACCAATCCATCGCTTCTATTCGATTAGGCCGACATTTACCTGCGGACGTACAGGAAGGAATGTTTCCTCAACCCAGTACACTTATGCCTACAGGCCTCTGAGTAATATACAGTACCTCCACTTACCACTACACTTTAGCTTATTGGCCACCACAGCTATATATCTGTATTTGCTCTAAAGGAATGAACAGGGTGCGGACAGCGCGTTTGTTTTCAGGCCTGGCTCAGCGGTACACAGCACAATTGAATGTCTGTGGTTTTAGAGCAGAATTTACACCGTTTCTCTCTCACCCCAAATGTAGTCAGTTAGTCGAGAAGTGTTTAGTGGCTAAAGTTTGCCTCTTTAGAGCTACATACATTTAGAGTGTGTTATTACATTTACATCAGGAGGCCATAATGTCTGTTTAAATGTTTTTGCTGTAATGTTGGTGTGTGCCTATAGCATGTGTGAAGGGGAAAAACTTGTCAGCAAATCCCTTAGAATTAATTAAGCCATGCATCAGTAGCGTGGGCTATCACATTAGCTGAGCTAGCTAGTGACGTTAAAGCATGAATGTAAATAGCCTATTAATCAGAAGTTACTTTAAGGCATTTGCTGACAAAAATAAAAAGTTTGACTATATTTCCTTGAGCTGTAGCTCCTCAGTGAGTCATGCTACAATAGCTAGTGGTGTAGGCTATGAAATTTAAGACCAAGGGAACCTAAATGTTTCTAATTACGTTAATCTTATTCTTGCAGGCAAACAGTACTAAGTATGCCCTTTGGATAATGTTCCAATGACCAATAAATGGCCAATTTCTCTCCTCTCAATGTAAACTGGGCGGTCTTAATCTTGAGTACTGCTTCTATAAGCATTCCACTTACCAATCACAAGGCTGACGTCTCTTGCCCCGCCCACACAAAAGTTTCAGAATCAGAGAGACTTAGCGAGTTAAAGCTAACCCACCTGTTTGTAGCTGCCTGTCACCCATTCATTCATTTATCCATACATGAACATTGTTTGTTCGTCCGTTCCTTCATTCACACATTGCTTTGTCCGTTTGTTCGTCCATCTGTCCCTCTGCACTTCTGTCAGTCTACGATTTCTTTCATCCAGTTCTCATCACATAAAAGCTGGATAATGATTTTAGTTCTGTATGAGTGGTGGAGCAGGCTAGGAGTGTTGGACAGAGAGCTGTCAATCAAGATGCTCATTAGCCATGCCCACACAGTTCTCGGTTAGGTCTGATCAGCGTTTTTTAGGCCGTGTTTTATCATATTTACATCTTACATTTTTCACTCAAGCTTTGCTGGATGTTTAATATAACATTTCAAGTTTAGTATCATACAAACATTTTTAATATTTCACTCTGTTTCCTGAGACTTTAGCTAGCTGTCTGTCTTAAAGCAGCTGAAGCCGGCTTAGCTTATCAATGAAAAGTTTATTCCTACAAATCTTGGCACAGCAAAACTATCCCCGATCCTTCCTAACCATGTTATCTTTCACACGCATACCAAATAAATATCATTTGAAATGAGTTATGCCCCCTAAATGTACATATTTTGACAAAGTTGTGAGTTTTAATTTCTCCTGTGGTTGAATGGGTCTTTTCTACCATTCTGTAAAGCTTGTCTAACTTGTCAGCAGTAGCTGTGAGCGAATGCATCTGTGGGTGGAACATGGAGAGGGCAGTAAACATCATATATACTGCATGCCTAAATCATCATAGACTTGCTTCAGTTGTTAAGTAGACTTGATTATGTGGATTCTGACCCTGTATGCCTATAAAAATGAAATCAAGATTCGAGAGACTGTAAAGATGCCCTATTACCTTTTTTCACTAGGCGTAGGCATTTCAGTCCAATTTGTTTGTCATTATTTTGAATATTTGAACATTTGAATATTTTTTGAAAATAAATAATAAAACATAGGACTCTTTCTACACCAAACATGTCAGGTGGACAGCAAACAGATGAAAGATATTTTTGCTTTTTTTTGGTAAGATACATTAGGTGTTGTAAGGCAAAATTGTCCCCCCAAATTTTTTTTTTCTTTTTTCTTTCAAATTTGTCACTATTTTACTATCATCAACTTAGATATACAAGATGACGTGTAGGTTCACTGGTGGTTTTAGGTAGTAAATAAAATAGCTATATTTATGCTGTAGACATCGTGACCCCTGGTTCCTAACACCATTGTAAAGAAATCTGTGTCAGTGAGTTTCTCTAGAATGGAACGTTTCCCATCAAACCGCTCTAAAGGATTTTGTTTACATCTTAACCACCAAATTCTAAAAAATCTATAGAATTCCCTTTTTTTAAGATAAACAGACAAAATCATTGTTTTACGTCAGCTAATGTTTCTAGCCCAGTCATATTTTATTTCACCTCATACCTTTTAGCTCAGGAACAGTGAGTTAATGAAGAGTTAGTTAGCTGATAACTAAGGCAGTGAACTCAAAATGATGTTGAAATTTTTTGTTCCATTAAATTCCTTAGTAGAGAGTAAAATGAGCTATATATGTATGAATGTGCTATAGCTGCACCCTTTCCTGTGAAAACGATATGCAGCTTCTCGTTTGTTGTGCGATGGCCTTTCGGCAGCAGTCTTTCTATGCTTTCTTCTTGGGACTAAACAGATAGGAAACTCTGACCAAACATGTAACGTTAGAGAAAAGCTCATTTGCGTATCAGCAATCCTAGTTTACTGTTTATTGTAAACAAAACTTTCAGGATTATTGAGTATTCAAAAACTTGGACTCATTAGTACAGTTTGCCTTACTGCTTTAATATTTACACAAGTGGTACAGAGGTACTGTGTATTTAGACACTGTTACAGATTACTATACAGGCAGTATACATGCTAGTGTTGTGTAAACATCTGAAATCATCACACAGCTTGTCTATGTCTGTGTGTGTGCGTCCTTTCCTGAGGTGATGCTCACATAACTGACACACCGTGTCACTGTTGCTGCTGTCTTCACAACAGCCTGATCAGACAGGTGGAAGTGTCCCTTTTTCCCTGATTAATAGCCGAGCTTTTCCAAGCGTTGTTAAATATGAGATGCAGGTGTTGCAGCGTGATAGGGTGTTTTTCCCCACTGTTTAAAACATTTGGTACTGCAAACATTGAGTCGCGAAAAATGGCTTACTCTCAAATGTCAAGTTCAAGTTGACCTTGTAACTCTTGGTGTGAACAAAGGGAAGCTCTTCAGAGCGTTTTTGTGATTTTTTATATATTATTAAATGCAGATCAGTGGGATTTGCACAGTGTGCTTATTCTTTTTCACAAACACCTTCAGTAGTTCAGCTGGCTTTTGTTCTCTCCGTCCAGGGTGGAGAAGTCGTCCCCGAGGGGCTCTGTCTCCATGCCCACTCTTGTAAACACTCCCTCAGGACGAGGTGTCCGTATCTATGGGAACAGCAGGCATGTTTTTTTGTGTTTTGTTTTTTTTTCCTTTCCGAGGAAGCCCTGTCCTCCGGAGATCTGGAGAGCGGTGAGAGGGGACGACTTCGGGTCAGAGCGAGTGTGAAGGGCCTGTTTAGCCGCGGCTGCTGATCGAAAGGTGGAGGGAGGGGGGAGAAAAAACTACTATTATTTTCTAATCCCTCAGGAGAGGAGCTGGAGCAGCAGGTCAGAAATGGGACTGGCTGCTATTAAACGTGCGGCTGGTAAACAGCGAGTGGCAGACAATACAGGCGGAGACGAGCTATTTCCATTACAGACCCTCTTCTCACGCTTTTCAAAGAGGAAGCCCCCCAACAATAGGCGGCCGACAATCGGACGAGAGTTTCACTTTTTGTAACTTGGTATTTGGAAATATGTGTGATTGTCTCTTTGTTTAGCCGCGTCGGCCTCGTTAAATTCTCCCTTCCGTCAGCGCCGGCGGCTAAACGAGGTTCGCTAAGGTCACCATTTTTAATAGCCTCACAGCAATTACTGTATGTGGCGGGAGCCTCCAGTGAATTAACTGGCCAACTGGATTGTAATGGTGAAGGGGGGAGGCGGCTGAGAGAGCCATTAAAACCAGTGTTTGAAGATAACGGTTGAATAGATGTTTTTTCTTGGAGGTAAACAGAGCCTTGATGAGAGAAAGCAAATAATAAGAAGTGAGAATTAGAAAGAGTATTATTTTCCTCGTTCTTGTGCTGTGAAAAGACACACTGGTCTCGCTGCCTTCGTTTTAGCTCTACACTTTTTATTGGATGAGGAAGAGACGGTCGCTAATCCTCTGCAGTCTGTCCGTCTGTCTGTCTGCAGCACAGCTATTCAGCACTGTCCTTCAGGCCTGAGGTGACGGGCGAGCTAAACTGCTAAAAGGCTGTTTCTCTCTCTCTCCTCTGTGAAAGAAGAACACTGGCTGAGTCTGAATGGGAGGACACTGGCCAAGGTCTCTCACCGAGCGAGCGAGAATGAGAATGGCAGGCTTTGAAATGGAGCTGCTCGCTTCGTTTTGCTGAGCGTTCAGACTCTCTCCTGTGAGGGGGCTAAAGCCAGAGGGTCGCGCTGGTAGATGAACACACATGCCGTCAGAGACCCTTCAGGGTTTTGCTGAGCCATCTGCACACCTGACTTTAACTTAACATGCACAATGTGCCTTAGCCACTCTCTCTATCTTTATCCTCTCTCTCTCTTTCTCTCTCTCATCTCTCTCTTTTTCTTTTCCTCTGTCCTTTCTTTGTACTTTTAACTTTCTCTCTCTCTCTCTTTCTTTCTTTTTCT